AACAAATTTGGAGTTGTGCTTAATGAATGCTGTTAGCAACGGTTTAAAGAGCTGAATAACTGATGACCGATTAGAGCTTATTGGCCTGAATTTTCGTTACATTTCTACCGAAACAATTTATACATTTAACTAGCTTTAGTAGAATGTGTGCTTCACAAGGTGAAACCTTTCATCTTAATAATTTTAGTTTTATTTGAATAGTACAGATCAGTGTTTAACTGTCCAGTCGGTTTTACTTTTTTTTTCTTTTTTTTTTTTAGGCCATACAGTTTTGTTTGTTAAGTTGGAAATGTTTTGATTAAATTGCCAGGTTGGTACGGTTCTCAGTCAACAGACAGCAATAGCAGCAGTAGTAACATTGTGCGCTGGGAAAGTCTATTGAAAATGTTAGTCAGATAACGATTTGTAACGGACTATCCACTGTGGCCTTTTTATGTCAAATGCTGATCTGTACGCTATGGAACAACAAGGCGTCTTATCCTTCCGATTTCATTGTAGGATAAACGCCATAACGCCTTTACCGGCATCAGTAGTATGTGCAGATGAGAGTTTTACAAAATTTATGAACCTTTCGTTTTGCACGGTCGAACCATTGTTCAAATTTTTTGCTGAATCAGAATACTGTTGTACAGAACAGATAATTTCAGTCAGTTGCATTTGCATCTTCTTTTTGCTTCACTTATTTCTTTTTACATTGCTTATAAAACCTTTTTATTCTTGTGTGTGATGTTCTGTGTAGTTATTGTTATATTAAAAAAGGTATAAGCTGTTTTTATTAAATATTACAAAGTTATCGTCTACTTTGAATCATTCGTTCATTGTAGTGTCAGTATTATCCTCTGCTGCCTTATTTTGGTTTCTTAGTCATTTTAAAAAGAACTCTATTTTTATCGATTTATTTACCTTTCTCAAAACACTGTTTTGATTCATTAGAAGTTTTTTCACAATTTGACAAAGTACGTTTTTTGAATTAGCATTTTAAGACTGAGGAGTGTTAAAAGTATGCAATTTCTAGCTAACTATTATCCGCCGAGGTCTTCTTTTGCTATTAGACTGATCAAATGATCCGATATTCGACAGTTGTTATTGAGTGGTCCTTAGTCGATGACAAATA